CCTGCTGTCATCCTGAGCACAGGGGCCCAGCCTGTTCCCCAGCCAGGAGAAGGTTCAGCTCCTTGACTGTGGCACCCCAGGACAGTGTTTCAGCCCTGCGCCATGGCTGGTGACAGTGGGGCTGGGGACACCATGTAGTCCCTGAAGCACTACTGTCCCCTCCACCCAGCTCCCTGAAAAATGAACTGGAGAGGGAGATCCCTCTGGGCACCTACCACTACCCAAAGAGCCTCAAGGACACGATCCTGCTCGGACCCAACACCAGTGCCAGCTCCAGCTGGGCTGCCATGCGGTGAGTGCCAAGGGCTGAGAGAAATGCTGAGGTGCTCCTTGAGTGCCAAGCTGTCCCTGGGACACAATGACATTGCTGCTGCCCTCAGCTCGCTGCTGGAAGCACCTCTGCAGGCTGAGAACTACTACCAGAAATTCCAGCTGCTGCTGCACCTGGAGGAGATTCAGATGGAGGTGGACATCCGGCGCTACGACATGCAGGATGTGACCATGGTGCAGGACAGGGCGCTGCTGGTTCTCGATGTGCGTGGGGGGCTGAGGGATGGGAGGGGTGCTGGCACAACGCTGGCGCTGCCAGGGTGCCTGGCATCACACTGGCCCTTTGGCACAGGTGCCTGGCGTGGCTGAGAACCGCCCGTCCGTGCTGAGAGGGGACCACCTGTTTGCCCACCTGAGCAGCGAGCGGGACCGCTCCCCGCTCGTGCGGTACAAGGGCTACGTGCACAGCGTGGAGCTGGAGAAGGTCAGGCTGGGCTTCTCCTCCAAGTGAGTGATGTCTGCTCCCAGCAGCCTTTCTCAGAGATGCCAAAGGCCAGGAGTGGGTTGGAAAGGGCCAGGAGGGCATGGGGGGGTGCCCCGTGCCCTGCTCACACCACTCCTTCCCAGGCTGCAGAAGAAGTTTGTGAACAACCTGAAGTTCGATGTGACCTTCACCTTCAGCCGGCTGCCGCTGCAGGTCCAGCACCGGGCTGCAGTCCTGGCCACGCGCCAGGGCTTGTTCAGCCTCCTCTTCCCCTCCGCCTCCTGCCACAAGTCCCTGTTCTCCGGCCCCTTCCAGCCCCGGTGAGTCCCAGCAGTGCCGGGTGGGAGGGTCTGAGGGATGAGGGGATGGAGGCGACGGAGGCAGCGCAGCTCTGCTCCCGCAGGTGGTTCAACCGCAAGCTGGAGACCAACGAGGAGCAGCGCAGAGCTGTGACCCACATCGTGACGGGGGTGTCCCGGCCAGCCCCGTACCTCATCTTTGGCCCTCCTGGCACTGGCAAGACGGTCACTATGGTGGAGGCCATCAAGCAGGTGAGTGGCCGGTGCCCAAATCCAGCCCTGAGCGTTGCTGCCCATTCTCATCCATGGGGCTCAATGCTGTCACCTCCTCCTCCCACCCAGGTGTGGACATGCTTCAAGGATGCCCATATCCTGGCCTGTGCCCCCTCCAACAGTGCTGCAGACCTGCTGTGCCAGTGCCTCATCAAGGACATTGCCCCTCAGAATGTCTACAGGCTCATGGCCAGCTCCAGGAACTACAGGGAAGTGCCCCCTGATATCATGGTAGGTCCCTGCCCCTCCACCCTGAAATCATGACAGCACATCTGGGCTGGCGTCCCCCAGGATAATGGGACCTCACCCAATGCCTGCACTCCAGCCCTGCTGCAACTGGGATCATGAGCAGAGCAGCTACGTGTACCCAAGCAAGAAGACCCTGAGGCGCTACCGGATTATCATCACCACACTGGTGACAGCAGGAAGGTCAGAGGAGCTGGGATTGTCCCCAGCCTCCGTGGCAGGTGGACCCAGGGCCGCCTTGCAGGCAGGCTGTGAAGGCAGTCCCTCTGGGACTCAGCAGGGAGGGGCTGGAGGAGGGCAGGCAGCAGTGGGGGAAACCCCTCCTCTGTGGGAGGATGAAGGGTAGGACAGGAAGGATGGCCAGGTGGGGCAGGATGCTGAGAACAGCCCCATTCCATCTCTCCTCCAGGCTGGTGTCAGCCAACTTCCCCCCTGGGCTTTTCTCCCACGTCTTCATCGACGAGTGCGGCCACGCCGTGGAGCCGGAGAGCGTCGTCGCCATCGCGGGTGAGCGGTGCCCGGCTGCTGACTCAAGGACCAGCATCTCTGCGTGGCCTGGGCTCCTTCCCGTTCCCCGCTGACCTCCCCCTGTTCCCAGGGCTCCTGGCTCCCATGGATGAGGAGACCAACCCCAACGGGGGGCAGCTGGTGCTGGCAGGAGACCCCAAGCAGCTGGGCCCCGTCCTGACCTCCCCACTGGCCACCCAGTATGGTCTGGGTGAGTAGGGAGAGGAGTGGGAGTGCTGCGGGCACCCCACAGGGGCTGAGTGGCCTTGTGGGGAGCCACAGGATATCACTGGGCACAGGCACCTCGCTGCTGGAGAGGCTGATGCTGCACAACCCCTTGTACAAGAAGTCGAGTGGAGGCTACGACCCCCAGTTCATCACCAAACTGCTCTGGAACTACAGGTGGGGACAGGGATAGAGCAGGAAGGGGTCGAGCCAGGCAGGGGTTGGGGAGCATGGCGCTCCAGGATCTGTCCCCCAGAGCCTCAGAGTGCCTCAGCTGGTGTGGGAGATGGGAGTGCACCTGCTGTCCTGGCTGCACGGTGCCTGAGAGGGTTCTGGACCCGCATGGCACCCACCCTGGCACTGTCCTGCCTCTCCCAGGTCCCATGAGGCCATTCTCAGGATCCCCAACGAGCTCTTCTATGACAACGAGCTGAAGGTGTCCAGGAGCGACGGGCTTGACGTCCGGAATCTGTTTTGTACCTGGGAGGAGCTTCCCAAAAAAGTGAGTGGAGGGACTGACCCAGGGGGTTCCCCGAGGCACAGGCAGAGCAGAGCCAAATGTTCTCCATCCCCAGGGCTTCCCCATCATCTTCCATGGCGTTTGTGGGGAAGACCAGAGAGAGGCCAGGAGTCCCTCATTCTTCAACACGGCCGAAATTGAGGTGCTGGTGCACTACCTCAAGAAGCTGCTGCAGAGCCGGGGCAGGGGAAGCTGCCCCAGCGTGTCCCCCAAGGAGATCGGCATCATCTCTCCCTACAGGAAGCAGGTGAGGAAGGCAGGGCAGGGCAGAGACCTCCCCAAGGGACAGGGAGCACTGGGATGGATGGGCAGCCCCAGAGCTGGCACAAGGATGGCCCTGTGGTGGCTGGATTTTGCCATGTGCCTCCACTCAGGTGGAGAAGATCCGGAAAGCCGTCGCCTCCCTGGATCCCGATCTGCAGAAGCTGCCAGACATCAGCCAGCTGAAGGTACGTCCTGGGCACGGAGGAGAGAGGAGCCCCTGGAGCCCAGGGGTGCTCCTGGCCCCTCACCTGTTGTCCCTGCCCCAGGTGGGCTCTGTGGAAGAGTTCCAGGGCCAGGAGCGGCAGGTGATCCTCATCTCCACCGTGCGCAGCTGCAGCACGTACCTCCAGTTCGACCAGACCTTCAGGCTGGGCTTCCTCAAAAACCCCAAGGTACCTCCTAGCTCCAGGCAGACCCTTCTTCCCTCTGGTTCTCACAGGCAGGTGGAGCTGCTCTGGGTGCTCAGTGCCACCCCAGAGCTGCCTGCACCCAGGTGGGGCTGCGAGACGATGAGAGGTGTTGCAGCCAGGTAAAGCTCTCTCGCTTGTCCTCTTCAGAGGCTTAACGTGGCCATCACCAGGGCCAAGGCTCTGTTGGTCGTGGTGGGTAATCCGACCGTGCTCAGCAAGGACGACCACTGGCTCAGGTGAGCTGCTCCTGGCCCTGCCACTGCTCAGCAGCACCTGCCCTTTCCTGCTGCCTGGCCATGCCCACTGCCACAGAGCAGCGAGGCCGGTGCCACCCCGTGCCCATGCTCCCCTCCCTCTGCACCTGCAGGTTCCTCAGGTACTGCAAGGAACAGGGGGGCTACACTGGGTACCCCTACGAGGACGAGAGCTCAGCTGAGGACAGACTCGCCAACGAGCTCCACACGCTGCAGCTCAGTGTTTAGCACCCAGGTGAGCAGAGCTGGGCACTGCCCGTGGGGCCCTGACAGCAGCAGGCTGCCAGGGTTGCATGCCAGCACCCTGGGGCAGCAGCATGGCCAGGTAAAGCTGGGGCGCTGGGAGGCTTCTCCTGCCCCAAATGCAACAGGACTTACAGCAGGTTTTTGCTTAGGGCTTGCACGTCTCCATCTCAAAGTCAGGAGCCAGCTCTGCCGTGAGGTTTCTCTGCAGGAGATGCACCTGGGAAGGGGGGAGAAGCCCCAGGAAGTGCATCCCCCTCAGCCTGTCCCTGGCCTGCAGCAGCTCCTGCTTTTTCTGTCTCAGTCCCGGGGTGCTCCATGCATCCCTGTGGAGATGGAGCTGAACCCACTGGACCAGAAGGTGCTGCCAGCCTTTGCTGCCAGCCACGAAGCCCACACCAGCATCAGACTGGGACAACTCTCCATTTTAATCATTTTTTACGTGTCTGTGGCAAAACTATTCTCTGTGACTGGTCTCACCATTCAGTGAAAGGCTTAAGCCTGGAGACTCCGGCCTCCAGAGAGCCTCACTGGGTGCAGCGGGGAGCTCCCTGCTGCTGCGATGGGTGACCAGGGCAGGCAGGGACCTGGTCTGGGACAGGCTGGCTCAGCTCTCCACTGGGCAGCTGCCTGGCCTGAGAGCTGGCATGGCTGTGCAGGCACTCTATTTCCCTGGAATAAATGTTTAAAGAAAAGCAGTGTACTGTTGAGTCCTAGGTGGGCCTTGCTTGCACAGACAGGGCTCAGAGCAGCGTCAGGCTCACTGCAGCCCTGCCCTGCCCTGCTCCAGAGGCAGGATGGCTCCAGCTGTGATGGCAGTGCCCATCGCCCAGGACTGGGTACAGCTGGGAAGCTCCTGTCTGGCCCTTGCCATGCAAACTGCTTCCTGGCTCTTTTGCAAGTACAGGGCAATGAGCCCTGATCTCCACCAGCAGCTAAAGCGACGGGAGCTGGGGGCCAGGCAGGAGCACAAAGGAGAGCCAGAGGAACACCACACAAGCAAGGTTATAATTACTAAAATACCAGTTTGCATTTATTCTCCCAATTAAGCAGTTGGGTTTGGTGCTGCCAAGCCCACGACCGAGGCAGACTCGAAGGCGGCGATGCCGGCAGAGCTGGGCACGCGTCCCGGGAGGAGCTGCTGGCAGCAGCTGAGCCCAGCTCTGCTCAGGCAGGGCTGAAACTGCCCAGGCAAGTCTGTAACTCTGCTGGCTGCTGCCTGCACGGCCCAGGAGCGCAGGCAGAACACACCGAGGGCCCGGCACACCCCACGCGTGAGCTGCGACCGGCACCTCCTGCTTCTGTGGCACCTGCCCAGAGCTGGGAAAGGGAGTGAACACCACAGCAATGCCCACGGGGAAGGCAAACCCAGGGAGCTCAGGGCAAACCCAGGATGCTCAGGGCAAACCCAGGGGGCTCAGGGCAAACCAGGGAGCTCAGGGCAAACCCAGGGAGCTCAGGGCAAACCCAGGATGCTCAGGGCAAACCCAGGGAGCTCAGGGCAAACCCAGGGGGCTCAGGGCAAACCCAGGGGGCTCAGGGCAAACCGGGGCGACGCGGGGAGCGACGCGAGCAGCCGGCCCTCGGAGAGCAGCAGGCGCTGAAGGCACTCACGGCCCTGGAATGTCGCAGGGACACCCTGCGAGCGCGGGTGGCAGCTCTGGCGCGAGGGGTTCGGGGCAGGTGGTGGCACCCCGAGGCGCCGCCGGGGCTGTGCGGCAGCAGCTCACAGCAGCGGGCAGCCCCTGCGCTTCTTGTTCTTGCGCACCTGCAGCCCGGCACGCGTGGCCATCTCGAACACCTCCCGCACCCCCTCCTTCGTCTTGGCCGAGCACTCCAGGTAGCCGAAGGCGTTGATCCTGTTGGCCATGTCCCTCCCCTCCTCTGGCTTCACCGGCTCCTAGGAAGCGGTGAAAAAAGGGTTTGGAAACGTTGCCGGAACACAACAGCGGCTGCCCTTGGGGCATCCAGCCCTTGCAGGCAGGACCTGCCATGGGCAGAAGTGGCTGCCTGGGGGACCCAGGGCTGTCCCCACCTGCTTCATCTTGGCCAGCTCCCGCCGCGTGTGCTCGTCGTTGCGCAGGTCCTTCTTGTTCCCCACCAGGATGATGGGCACGTTGGGGCAGAAGTGCTTCACCTCCGGCGTCCACTTCTCAGGGATGTTCTCTGCAACAAGCACACGTGGAATCCTTTGAGCTGAGGGGCTGCTGCCCCACAGGCTCCTCACAGAAACCAGCTCCAGGCTTTTCCCGTTGGAGCAGGGAGAGCTCCCCCCACAGCACGCCCCTCTCCCACCACCTTGCCCAGTCAGCACTCCCCTGAAGTGCACACAAGGTCGGGGGATGAAGGGGAGGCTCTGGCATCGTCGAGGGGCAGCTTGGGGGCTTCCCAGACCCCAGGGGGTTCAGCAGCAGCAGCGAGCCCCGTGGGACCCCCAGTCCCTACCGAGGCTGTCCGGGCTGTCGATGGAAAAGCACATGAGGATGACGTCTGTGTCCGGGTACGAGAGGGGCCGCAGCCTGTCATAGTCCTCCTGTCCTGCTGTGTCCCACAGGGCCAGCTCCACCTGAGAGGGGACAAGGACACGGCTCAGCGGCTCTGCAGGCCACGAGTGACAGATTTATCTTCCTCAGGTACAGCTGTGCTCTTCCTCAAACTGGGACAGGCTCAGGGTGACCCAGAATTGCTGGAGCCGTGGGCTCCCCTGTGTGTGCAGGTGTCTCTGAGCACACAGGGCAATCCCAGCAGCAGCACTGGGCAGTGGCACTGCCAGCAGGGGACAGGAATGGCAACGGCCCTTACCTGCTTCCCATCCACCTCTATGTCAGCAATGTAGTTCTCAAACACCGTGGGCACGTAGACCTCGGGGAACTGGTCTTTGCTGAACACGATCAGCAGACACGTCTTTCCGCAGGCACCATCTCCCACAATCACCAGCTTCTTCCTGATGGCTGCCATCGCTGTGGGGACACGAGCAGGTGAGCAGGACAGAGCAGCACGGGCAGCTCGTGCTCCTGCTCCCCCAAATTCCTGCGCCCAGCAGCCTGGGAGAACCAGACACGAGCACCTGGGCACATCCCACTGTGCCCTGCCAGTGACTGACTGGACAGAAGGTCCCAACCCTCCAGCTCCCACCACATCAGCCCCAGGGCACCACAAGAACTGCCTGACTGAACCATTTACACCCAGCACTGCTGCTCTGTCTGGGGAACCATCCCAGCTGTGGTCAGTGCTGGTGGCTGCACACAGGGACCTTGTGGGAGGTGACAAACCACTCTGCCTTCCCCAGACATCCAACCTTCCCTGGTTTTGCCGTGCTACCACCCAGCTAACCAGGATTTTAGACAATCTCCCTGGTTTTGCTGTGCTACCACCCAGGTAACCAGGATTTTAGACAGTCTCAGAGTTCCACGCACATGCTGGGTTTATTTTAAATTATACATTCTTCAGGGCAGAAACTGTGCTTCGCATTTCACCCCAGCACGCTCACCAGACCCCAAATAATCTGATCAGCAGCTGGAACACACCAAGCCAAGGCCCTGGAGGTCTGGGCAAGCAGGACCTGTGTGCCTGGCAGCCGGCGTGGGCTGGCCCCATCCCAGCCTGTCTGAAAAAGGAGCCTTTGCCATGGCACCAAGAGAGCTGACGCTGGCACTGGCAGAGGGAGAAGCTGCCAGTCATCACTCAGCAAACAGAGCTGAGACCCCACGACAAAGCAGGCAGCTTTCTCCCCACGGGAAAAGGATGCAGTTCTGCAAGGAAAACTATGCCTTTGCATCCCTCACTTTCAAAAGGGGTTTACAGCTGAGCCTGGGAACCAGCCAGGACAATGCCACAAAATGCCTGGCACAGAGTCTGAATGAGCATGAGAAAATCAGCCGTAGTGGGATCACATCCCTCCCCAGCCTTGTGACCAAAATCTCTTTTCCATCCCCAGATTCCCAGTCCAAAGAGCCTGTCCTACTCCTCACATCTTCTGTCCTTGCAGAGATCCTGGGAATGACATGTCAGGGTTTAGTCCCTGAAAATTCACACTGCTCTGGGCGAAACTACGGGTGACCAAGAAGCCTCTCCTGAAGGCAGGGATGTTCCATGCTTTCCCCCTCAGCCCTGTCCCTCTCCAAACCCTCTGCCCAGGCAGCAGGGTGGGAAGGAGCCGCTCATGCTGGGAGCCTGGGGAAGGCTCACAGGAAATAACCCCGTGGGAAGGACACACACACACCAGCGCTGAGGCACTGAGCTGCAAGCAGGGAGTGGGTCATGCTGGATCCCTGCAGGATCACTGGCACCACCTTGGGAAGGCCAGAACATCACAAACCTGGCCTTCAACCAGGGCACTCAAACTGAGCCTTAACAAAGGCCAGGAATCTGCCCCTGCCCCAGCGATCCCACCCTCACCCTGAGCCAACAGAAAAGGGAGGAAAAGGGTAAAGCAGGAGTCCAGCTGCATCATAATTAGCTGCAAGTGAGGGATTAAGAAATGAGCCTGAATGGCTGACTCACATTGCAAAGGCAGGCTGCAGAGCTGAGTGTCTCACCGATGTGCCTGGCAGGTCACCCCTGCCACTCAGAGCCCGGGGAGCCACCCCAGTTTCACAAATCACACTGCCCAATGGTTTGGGCAAAAGAGAGAGTTTCCACCCATCCTGGACCAGACCCTGCTGGAGCCAGGGATCTTTGTAGCTTCCCAGCATTTTGGCTCACAGGCTGAGGCAGGAATGGCTCATGGCTGCTGAGTGCTCTGGAGCTGTTGATAAAAATAGAAAGCTGGCACTTGTAGGGTGAGAAGAGTGAGAATCAAGGGCTGCATCCGGGAGATGGGACATTCCTCAGCTGGGATCCTTGGTGCCAGGCACACATCCCAGTGGAGGAGCATGGCTACAGGAAGGTGAGCACATTTGTGCAACACTGAAGTCAGAGAACAAAAGAAAAAGGTGCTCCAAAGGGTCCCTTTTAGGAACCAGGGGCGCTTTTAGGGAGGTAAGTGCTGAGCATGGGGGGAAACAGCTCCTGTCCCTGTTCCTCATGCCCTGCTGCTCCTGCCCAGCTGGGCCAGGCAAACCCACAATCCCACTGAATCATTAAGGCTGGAAAACACCTCCAGGATGCACAAGACCAACCCTTGCTGCAAACCATCCTTCTTGTCTGACCAGAGGCTCGTCCTCTCTCCAGCAGCAGGTCCACAGCACAGAAAACAGAGCTCAGGGAGAAAGAAGCCTGTTCACTTGCACACAAAGCTTCTCTGCCCACAGCAGAACATGATATGCTGCTTTGTGGCTCCCTATCTCCAAGAGGAAAGGCGTTTTGGGCCGTGCCAATGTCTCACCCACAGCTGACAACATCTGCAGCGTGAGGAGCAGGAGATGCCCGAGGACAAACAGCCACTCCAGGACAAGCAGACGGACAGCAGGCTCTGCCCATGCCCAGCCTGCAGACTCTGCACTGAAAGCAAAGCCAAGCAGGGCGCACTGCCCCAAGCTGAGCAGGTCCCCAGAGCCAGAGCTCCTTCCCACGGCCCCAGGTCCCCCCTGACCCGGGACGCTCCGGCCCCGCGGCGCCCGAGCCCGGCGCGGAGCCCAGCCGTGACTCACAGGGCAGAGGCACGGTCCCCACCCAAAATCTCAGCACAATTCATTCCATTACTCAGGAGAGCCATCCAGAAATAGCCCATTACTAATCCAGAGCTGGTGTGCAAAGGCGAGCAGGGCAAGGAGGCTGCAAGGGCTGTGAGCCTGAGGGGTCGGCGGGGCGCCCCGGTCCTGCCCCGGACCCAGCAGCTGGCACAGCACCAGCACCCGATGCCAGCACCTCCCTGTGCCAGGGGAGATGAGCTGCTTTGCCAGGGGATGCTCTTGTTGCTCAGCAGCGTGAGGCCAGACCCTGGGATGAGGATTCTGTTTGCACTGTCGCCAGATTATGAGCAGATAAAAAGAGTGGAAAACATGAAGGCAACTTCATGAAGACAAACAGCACAATCCCAAGTACAAATGCAGAAGAATTAAGTGGGAGCAGCCCTGAGAGGAAGGACTTGGGGGTGCTGGTGGATGAGAAGCTCAACAGCAGCATTAACTGGCAGCCCAGTGTGCAGGGCTGATCCCCCAGGGTGGGCAGCAGGGGAGGGGGGAATTCTGCCCCTCAGTGAGACCCCACTGCAGAGCTGGGGCCCCCAACACAGGGAGAACACCGAGCTGCTGGAGCGAGGCCATGGAGCTGGAGCTGCTCTGGAGCCAGCCTGGGAGATCTGGGGGGGCTCAGCCTGGAGAGGAGAAGGCTCTGGGGAGACCTCAGAGCCCCTTCCAGAAGAAATTATTCCCTGAGAGGATGGTGAGGCCCTGGCACAGGCTGCCCAGAGAAGCTGTGGCTGCCCCATCCCTGGCAGTGCCCAAGGCCAGGTTGGAAGGGGCTTGGAGCAGCCTGGGACAGTGGAAGGTGTCCCTGCCATGGCAGGGGATGGGATGGGATGGGATGGGATGGGATGGGATGGGATGGGATGGGATGGGATGAACTTTAAGGTCCCTCCCAACCCAAACCACTCTGGGATTCTGTGATAATCTGAGGACAGCTTTGCTACAGCTGCCAAATGATTAAAAGCACACAGTCATCCACAACAGACACGAAAGTTGAGATTTTAAAGCCTGCAAAGTGCCAACCACCCCAAAATAGCCAGCACTGCCCAGCCCACGCTGGCAATGCACCCTGGCAGCTCTTGGGTGTGAGCAGCACTCGCAGGGCCCCGCTGGAGATGCCTCCTGCTCATCCATGGAGAAAACAAAAGGGAGCAGCAGCTGTGTGCCAGCATTTCCCACTGCCAAAGCCCACAGGGCTCCCGTCCTGCAGCTGCTGCTGCAGGCAGGCTGGGCCCCACGGGGATGGCTGGGGTTTAATCTGTGCCACCACTGCCAGCACCAGCCAAATCCTGAGCAAAATCTCCTTCAGCTCACCAAAAGCTGCAGCACAACCCCAAATTGCTCTGTTCTACTTTCCCAGCAACTCTTCTAAAGCCATCACCATAAAACCAGCCAGGCTCCAGGGCAGCCCTTGTGCTGCTGGTCTCTCCCAGCTTTGTGCCTCAACACGTGAAGTTCCTGCTGAGCAGGATACAGGGAATTCCTCTGGCAGCAGGATGTGTCCATCATCCAGTGCCTGCTATGGGGACTCAGGAATAGCAGAGAAAGGTGTTAATGCTTTGAAGGGCTCCAACCAGGGACAGAAATCTTTCAATGAACCTCCTTGGCCAGACTCGACTTCCTAGAGGTAACAGAGGGGTTTTGTTCTAAAGCAGAAATTCCCAAGCACTGCTGAGGGCCCCACCCTGGTCAGACCGGTCACACCAGGGACCACAGCCCTGGCCAGAGGCACAGCTCTGAAGCCTGGGCAGGGCTGGGGGCGAGAGAGCTGTGCTGGGAGCAGCCCCTTGGCAGGGATGTCCCCACTGCTGTGGGGCAGTTCCACTGCAGAAATGGTTTTAGCCGCTTGGACTCACTGGTACAATGATAAAACAAGTAAACTTCCAAATTAAAGCCCCACAGGAATGCCCACTGTGGGGAATTTCATTTGCTGAGACACCTAAGCCACGGCCAAGGCAGTACAGGACAAGTGTCCCAGCCACTGCTGCAAGCACCAGAGGGATTCTTACTGCAGAATCACAGAATCATCAAGGCTGAAAGGCACAAAAAATTTCCAAAAGGGGCTGAAAGCAAACAGTGATGCTGAGGGGCAGTGCAATGGGCAGGGCAGAGCACGGGCTCCTGGGCAGATCACAGCTCAAGACCATCCAAGTGGCTTTGGCAAAGCAGCACCTGGATTTTGGCACTCCTCCATCCCCCAGGCGGGCTGAGCTGTGCTGTTTGTGCAGAGCAGACCAGCCCTGAGCCCCCAGCCCTGAGCCCCCAACCCCCAGCCCACACCTGGGCCAGCCCGAGCCCCCAGCCCTGAGCCCCCTGCCCTGAGCCCCCTGCCCAGAGCCCCCTGCCCAGAGCCCCCAGCCCTAGCCCTCGCTGGCACCCCGGCTGACCCACACCCACGTGCCCCAGCCCTGCTGCTGCTCCCAGCCCCTGGCTCACCTGCCATCCCGCCTGCCTCTGCTGCCAAAACCACCCAGCAGCACAGAAAATGTCTGTATTTACCACTGAGAGGGCTGCCTGAAACCTTCCTCAGACCTCTAGACCTGCTATAGCCAAACAAGTGACTGTCAAAACAGGAGCTCAACCCAGTGCTCAAGTTTAGACCTTACCCTTTTTTTTGAGATATTATTTGGGCACAGCCAGGCAGGCTGGGCTTAACACACACTCCAGTGGCAAGGGGCAACTGTCCAGACCCAGACCCGGAGCAGAGTGTCCAGGCTGGCTCATTTTCATTGCTAAATCCCACAAAAAACATCCACAAGCAAAACAGAGAAAAGAACTTGGAACAGAAGAATTTGAAAACCTAAACAAAGCTCAAACCACAAGTGTTTGAGCATTGAGGGAAACGCTGCCTGCCCTTACCTCCTTTTCCAAAGGACATCATGCCATGTTCTTATTTTACCTCCTGCAGCAGTGACAGCCTTCCCAGCCTCACGGTAGAGGAGTGTCTTGCTGAAAGCTCCAAACAACAGGCCACAATCTCAGCAGATGGCTGCACTCACTCGCGCAGCGCCTGCCTGCCCAGCGCCGAGCGGCGTGCGCTAATGCAGCTCCTTACTTTTCATGTCAGCGCTCCTCTCCCCTGCAAACGGCCAGTCGGGAGCTCAGCCTGCTTAAACGCTCCTGACAACCTGTGGGAAGACAGGGACTTGGCTTATTTTCCACTTACACCTTTCCCTGGAGAAGCTGTAGCTGTCAGGAGCCTGGATACCAGGGCAAGTCCACAAAATCTCATGCAGTCTCTGAGCTGAGGAGGAGGAGCTGGGCATAAACTGGAACTGTTTGGGCACCAAAAGCACTTGGCAAAATAGAAACAAAATGCAACTGGTGCCCGTGACACACAGCCAGCCAATCCTGAAGTCTCCAGTTTTCCCTGGAACACTTTCCCAGGGATGTCAGCCTGGGGGGCTCAGCCAGGCCCCTGCTGCCAGCCCCCCAGGCAGATGCAGCCTACAGATCACAGCCCCAGGGATCACAGCTCTGGGGATCACAGCCCCAGGGATCACAGCCCCAGGGATCACAGTTCTGGGGATCACAGCCCCAGGGATCACAGTTCTGGGGATCACAGCCCCAGGGATCACAGCCCCAGGGATCACAGTTCTGGGGATCACAGCCCCAGGGATCACAGCCCCAGGGATCACAGCCCCAGGGATCACAGCCCACAGATCACAGCCCCAGAGATCACAGTCCCAGGGATCACAGCTCTGGGGATCACAGCCCCAGGGATCACAGCCCCAGGGATCACAGCCCTAGAGATGACAGCCCCAGGGATCACAGCTCTGGGGATCACAGCCCCAGGGATCACAGCCCCAGGGATCACAGTTCTGGGGATCACAGCCCCAGGGATCACAGCCCCAGGGATCACAGCCCCAGGGATCACAGCCCACAGATCACAGCCCCAGAGATCACAGTCCCAGGGATCACAGCTCTCGGGATCACAGCCCCAGGGATCACAGCCCTAGAGATGACAGCCCCAGGGATCACAGTTCTGGGGATCACAGTTCTGGGGATCACAGCCCCAGGGATCGCAGCCCCAGGGATTGCAGCCCCAGGGATTGCAGCCCCATTCTCCCGGGAGTGTTGAGGGGCTGGGGCTGGCTTTAGGGAGGTTGGCCACTGGGAGACTTGGCTGCCAGACTGCTAGCACTGGAAAAGGCCACGCAGTCATGCTTTTGGAATGCTCCCCTGCTCCTAAGACATTACACAATTATTTCCCCTCCCCACAAACCCCCCTAATATAAATGTTTAAGAATGAGCTCAGCAGTAAGGAAAGGGAACTTTTTTTCCCTCTTTCTGAAGAAAACACAGAGCGGCCACTCCATGGGCAAGGCTGTACACAGGGACACTGCTGGAGTGGGGCTGTGGGGAGGGATGTGGGAAGGGGCAGCAGCCCCCAGGCTCATCCCAGGTCAGGCACTGCCTGGGGGACAACTGCAAGTTGGGACCCACAGCCCAAGGCCACCCTCAAGGAATGACAGCCTGCAGCGACTGAGGCGCAGCTGACCCATCCCTCACCACACCCAGGGACCCCCACCCCACCCTGGGCACACCCACCCCACCCTGTCCCGCTGCACCCCACCCTATGGCCCACTGCCGCACCCCTGCACTGACCCCACACCCCACAACCCCACCTCGAGCCAGAATCAGCGACCCCACATCCCACCAGGAACCCCAGTGACCCCACATCCCACCAGTAACCCCAGGGACCCCACCTCTGAGCCCACACCTCGCCAGAACCAGTAGTCCCACATCCCACCAGCAACCCCAGCTCTCAGTCCCTCCAAGCCCTACGAGAAAACCCCGATCCCAGCTCCCCCAAGCCCAGCAGTACCACACAGCTCTGTTTGCCCGGACTCCAGCAGTAAGTCAGCCCCATCACAGCCAGTAACCCGGATCCCAGCTCTGGCCCCACTCCTTCCAGTGCCCCCCGCCCCAGCAGTGCCCCCGCACCCCGAACCTCTCTCCGCCGCTCCCGCTCCGCTCCCGGCCCCGCCGCGCGGCTCCGGCACCGCCCCGAACGGGCCCGCCCGCGAGGGCGGAGCGGCTGCGGGGGCCGTGCCGAGCCGTGCGGGGCCGTGCCGTGATGGGCTGGGCCGTAATGGGCCGTGCCGAGCCGTGCGGGGCCGTGCCGTGATGGGCTGGGCCGTGCGGGGCCGTGCCGAGCCGTGCGGGGCCGTGCCGTGATGGGCTGTGCTGTGATGGGCTGTGCTGAGCCGTGCGGGGCCGTGCCGTGATGGGCTGTGCTGTGATGGGCCGTGCCGAGCTGTGCGGGGCCGTGCCGTGCGGGGCCGTGCCGTGCCATTCGGGGCTGTGTCGAGCCGTGCGGGGCCGTGCCGTGATGGGCTGTGCCGCAATGGGCTGTGCCGTGCGGGGCGGTGCCGTGCCATTCGGGGCCGTGTCGTGATGGACTGTGCCGAGCCAGCCGAGCCGAGCCGAGCCGAGCCCTTTCCAGCGCTGCCCGGTGTCCCGGAGCCCCCCGGTGTTTGTTTCCCCCGGAGCCCGCGGTTCGGGGTTTCCCGGTTCGGGTTCCCGAGGCCAGGTGGGGAGGGGGCGACCCCGGCTGCCGGGAGGGCTGAGCTGCTGCTCTCAACCCCCCGTGCCGGGTTCGGCAGCCGGACCGCTTCCCACCTGACAGACGCCGGTGCTGAGGCCGTGCCTTGTCCCCAGGGTCCCCTCCGGGGGCTCTGGCAGAGCGGGGCTGTGCCGTGCCGTGCCGTGCCGTGCCCCATTAGGTGACCCCCGAGCCACGGGTGCGGCTCCGGCTCCCCGTGCCCACCATGGGCTGTGGGAGGGGGCACAGGCGGCGGCTCCCCCGACATCCAGCTGCAGCCAGGGAAAGGCAGCCCCAGGAGCCTGGCCCGGACCCAGGCTCATAAACCACTGCTATTTTAAGGGCTTGCAGACTATTTTTCTTTATTTATCAAGCTCCAGGCCAGGAGTTGGTTCCAAAGGAAATGTTTCCTTAGTAAAAAAGGGAACCACAGAGGAAGCTTTAAATGCAGCAGCCACTGCCTCCTTGTCTTATCCAACAGCCGGGCAGTGACCTGGAAAAGCAGAGCCAGTTCTCAGCCACCAGCATGAAAAGGAATGTGCCAGGGGAACAGGGCTGTGCGAACAAGTGAAGAGAGCACCGGGAGTATCAGGGGTACCCGGTGGATGTTTCCAGCAGGCAGCCCACCCTCGAGGCAGAAGCAGCTGCTGCTTGAGTGCCTGAACTCTGGGGAGGGACAGTCACATTCCTCCGAGCCACAGCCTGCCCCACTCCCTCCCCCGCAGACAGGAAAACCATTATCCTTTCTCCCTTCCATTCCGTGAGTGGTGTTCCTGTTCCCACCGGACTGGCCACTGCTGTGCCTCCCAGCCAGATCCAGGGATCCAAACCCCCCAGGCTGGCGGCATCCAGCCAGATCCAGGGATCCAAACCCCCCAGGCTGGCGGCATCCAGCCAGATCCAGGGATCCAAACCCCCCAGGCTGGCGGCATCCAGCCAGATCCAGGGATCCAAACCCCCCAGGCTGGCGGCATCCAGCCAGATCCAGGGATCCAAACCCCCCAGGCTGGCGGCATCCAGCCAGATCCAGGGATCCAAACCCCCCAGGCTGGCGGCATCCAGCCAGATCCAGGGATCCAAACCCCCCAGGCTGGCGGCATCCAGCCAGATCCAGGGATCCAAACCCCCCAGGCTGGCGGCATCCAGCCAGATCCAGGGATCCAAACCCCCCAGGCTGGCGGCATCCAGCCAGATCCAGGGATCCAAACCCCCCAGGCTGGCGGCATCCAGCCAGATCCAGGGATCCAAACCCCCCAGGCTGGCGGCATCCAGCCAGATCCAGGGATCCAAACCCCCCAGGCTGGCGGCATCCAGCCAGATCCAGGGATCCAAACCCCCCAGGCTGGCGGCATCCAGCCAGATCCAGGGATCCAAACCCCCCAGGCTGGCGGCATCCAGCCAGATCCAGGGATCCAAACCCCCCAGGCTGGCGGCATCCAGCCAGATCCAGGGATCCAAACCCCCCAGGCTGGCGGCATCCAGCCAGATCCAGGGATCCAAACCCCCCAGGCTGGCGGCATCCAGCCAGATCCAGGGATCCAAACCCCCCAGGCTGGCGGCATCCAGCCAGATCCAGGGATCCAAACCCCCCAGGCTGGCGGCATCCAGCCAGATCCAGGGATCCAAACCCCCCAGGCTGGCGGCATCCAGCCAGATCCAGGGATCCAAACCCCCCAGGCTGGCGGCATCCAGCCAGATCCAGGGATCCAAACCCCCCAGGCTGGCGGCATCCAGCCAGATCCAGGGATCCAAACCCCCCAGGCTGGCGGCATCCAGCCAGATCCAGGGATCCAAACCCCCCAGGCTGGCGGCATCCAGCCAGATCCAGGGATCCAAACCCCCCAGGCTGGCGGCATCCAGCCAGATCCAGGGATCCAAACCCCCAGCCTGGCAGCACCCCAGCAGCTCCCCCTGCCCAGGGGCGCTGGATGGACACTGCACGGGCTCTGACAGTGCCAAGGGCAGATGGACAGCAGCACACGTGGCTCTGCGCAGGCCGGTTTGCCTGCCTACATAAATTAATCAGAGCTAATTGGCTTTCGAGTAAGTCGTCTTTGCAGGAGCTCTGCAAAGAAAGACTTTAAAGTAGGGCTGCGAGTGGCAAAATCTTTATTTAAACACACAGTGCTACACAAGGACAGGCTCCTGGCCCCAGCACCACTCCCTTCAGCATGGGTGCCAACAGGTTCAAATCTTGTGCATAACTTTCACTTTCCATTGTGTGCCCCCAGTTTATTTACATCCCACCTGTGGCTACAGGACACAAACAACATTCACTAGAGGTGACACTTGACGGGAGCTGGCTGCACCCAGTGACAAGAGACAAACTACTGGTGCCACGGAGCCTTTCCCAAACAAGGGACATGGCCCAGCTCTCCTCCCCACACTGCCAGGATGGGACCATCCCTCCCGGTTTAGGACTCTGCAGAGGTCTGGGATGTGGATGCTCCAGGTTAGAGATGTGTGTGATGCAAAACTCCAGAGTAGAGATCAACTGCTCAGCTCCCCTCTGCACCAGTTCTGAGATCATTAAGGAAAACATGGGAGCTGTCTTTCCCTGCCCTGGTCACACCAAGCTGCTTTTCCTGTGGGTTCCCAGCCCTGGGCTAAGCAGATCCAGTGCAGTTAAGCTGTTAAGCTCACCTGAATAGGGCTGCTCTGTGTGAGGCTGCTAACTCAGAGCCACTCCAAAATACAGACATACATTCACAGACTCCCCACACCAAGAAAGGATTTAGACATTTTCCAGCTCAGCTCTGCAGTTAATAAATAATTGGCTCCAGAAGCACTGCAGCCACCCAAGGCATGAGAGGAAGGGGCAGAACCTGTGGCACAGCCAGTGCTGGTGCAATTGCTGTTCCCTCCTCGGGGCTCTGGGTGCACAGCAGAGCTTGGCCACTGCTCCAATCTCCCAGACTGGAGACTGAGACAAAGTCTGTGACAGAATGAAGGTGAGAGGAGCTGAAAATGGGGAGCACAAGGCCGGGATGGCCATTGTGGGGCCACACTGGACTTGTGCCAGGCTTAGCACTGCCCAGCTGCCTGTGGGACTTTACTCCCAGTCACATCCCACCTGAGCCCCAGCTCCCACCTCCAGCAGCAGCTTCAGTGTCACTGGCCAAAGCATCCCGGGGCAGGAGCCAGGGGGTGGCTGCAGCAGGTATGAGTGCCCCAGCAGCCCCATGGCTGTCACACGGGGCTGCAGTCAGCACAGCCACGGCAAGAGGCAAAGGACATGCTGAGGAGCCAAGGAGCCTTCAGGCTTTTCACAGCATTGAGAAAGTAGCAGCATGAGAACATCCCTCGAGCCCAGTGCTCACACTCTATCCAGGGCCTCTCCATCTCCACCTGGGACTGGGATGCAAGCACGTGGAGGGGGATGCTCTGGACAGGAGCACAGACTGAGGCTCCAGGTTTCTTACTCTTCTTGCAGCTGGCTCAAGAAACGAGTGCTCAGAGGAGGCATGGCCCCGAGGCAGCCCCAGGGTTCCACTCCACAGTGTCTCCATCCAGGCAAGCTGGGCCCCGCTGCCCCAGGCTCACCCAGCATCACGTGTAGTTGCCGGGGCCACCCAGGGGGATCACAAAAACAGAGATGTCATCTCCAGAGCCCAGCTTGTCGTTGGCCAGCCGCCAGCCACGCTCCTTCAGCACCCCCCGTGACCGCACCACCAGCTCCTGGGCCACCATGGTGTACCTGCAGGCACAGCAGAGAGCACGGCTCAGCAGCGACCCCAGACCCCCGAGGCAGCACCCTGGCAAGGAGGGAGAAGCCAGAGCTGCAGGAAAGGGTCCCTTGGAGAGACCAGGCTCAGATATGCCCATCCAGGGGAGCAATGCACTCTGTGGAGCCCAGAGGGATGCGTGGCCACAACACTGCTCCGAGGAGCCAGGCCAAGGCGAGGTGGTGGCGTGCACAGCACGCCTGTCCCCCTGCCCACCTGCAGCTCACCTGCACGGGTCGTTGGGCTCATAGCTGGTCAGCACCTCCATCACCACTCCTGCCACCTCCTTGTCGTTGGTGACGTCCCAGAGCCCGTCGGTGCCCAGCACCAGAACGTCGTCAGGGCAGTGCTCGTACTGCGTGAGGTCATAAACCCTGACCTGGCAGGCAACAGGGCAAGGCGCAAGGCTGAGGGGCAGAGAGGCAGAGCAGGCTCCTGCTGCCCTGGGCACGTCACGGGTCTGGGCCTGCCGAGTGGCTCTGGCCATTGCAGGGACCCCTGGGTGCCAAGCTGCTGGCAGCCAGGCTTACCTCTGGGAAGCAGGACAGGAAAGGCTTGATGTGGATGTTGGAGCTGAACACCTTGAGGTCGTGGTCTCCCAGGCCTCTTGTGACCCCAATTGTGGCCATCATCCGAGCCTGGAGAATGGTGGAATCAAAAGAGAACTTTAATCCAGTTCTATTCTGAGAATTGGTGATAACAGCAGTACCAAAAATGGGCTGAAATCCCCCAAAGCAGTGAGAGCAGGCAGGAA